AGTTCGCTTTGAGTTCTCACCATGTTGATTTATACACCAAAGCAAACATTCAAGACAAAAATATTAAGATAAGGAAGGTTTATACACATAATCCTCCTTATTACTCCGACAATTAACATACCATTTCTAATACTGTAATTAAACGTTTAGAATACTTAACACATAAAATTTCTAAATCTAGGTCGGCAACAGACCATCAATTTATTCAAATAATAACATCCTAGGTAGGCAACCTAAAGCATCTTAAGGCATCTTATCGCTATAGCATGCTTTAACATAAATCATTTAGCATATAAAAGCAATTTAGGCATCATTCCTAAAATAAACTAGTGCATGTGTCATTTCAGACATACTACCTAGAATACAACAGACACTCATCTTACAATCATCGCTTAGCATTCCATGTTTAAGTCTAGAAATCCTTAATTAATCGTAGTTCGCTTAAACTAATTCTCTGATACTAAGTGTGACATCCCCATTTTCACAGCCAATTTAAAACCTTTTATTTATGCTTTATTTATTTCAGAGTATAAATATTAATGTGGAATTTTTCCCAAGTAATATATATGTATATATATATATATATATATATATATATATATATATAAACCTTGAGATGTCATTGTCAATACAGATACATAAGCATAAACAAGTTTTAATAAGCCTTACAACAATCTATTATATTATGGCCTACAATTTCCTCAAATCACTCATCATCCAAGTGTCTTCGTACTGCTACCTGTGATACAAGAAACTGAGTAGGACAGGCTTGGGGGCCTGGTCAGCACATAGGGTTTTCAACCCACAATAATTAAGTTCTTTAATTATATATTTCACATAAAATAATTTACACGGTTACCCTTTTCCCGTTATTCTTACGTATTGATCCTAATATACTGATCTCAAGGGACCTATCCTAAGGATCATAATCATCAACGGGGTAGAGAATACTACTTGGGGGATTCCTTTAGCAATATGTGTCCATAAGGCAACCATGGGGGGATAGAGTACATCAATAAACATATAGTTCACTAACACCTATAGGTTGCAAGCCTGCCAGCATTTCCACTGGAATGTTTAGAATAGTCTGTGGTTGTCATCTATACTCTGCTAGATGACTGGTTCATCAAAAGTCAAGGCCACTCATTGTCATCTCATCATTTTCATCGTCCATCACTACCCAGTATATTTTATATAAATATATGAAAATATGTATATGATTAAATCAAGTAAAATCATATAATTCATTTAACACCTATATCAAGTAATTCAGATAATAGGCACACGTAACATTTAATCATCCAAATACTTTATATCTATGTGTAAGCTGAAAGTTATTATGCACTCACCTGTTAGAGTGGATGACTGGAAAGTTGGGCAACGTTTTGCTTCTACACTTGGCTTTTCCTTTGATGTGACCTAGGTTTAATTTATCATGAAGTCTTAGTTTAATATTTCTTGTAACTAATGATAGTCTTGATTCCTCAAAAATCCCAATGTCTACATCATGATCTATAAAGTAAGGAACAACCAGGTAGGATAACATCGAAGGTAGGGACCGTTTGGTATACAGAGTATACTATTTCAAAATCCCACTTTAAACACCTCACTAAATCCAGCCTAGACATCATCCCCATAAGTAGATCAATCAGTAATATGACGTTGAAATCACTGAAAAATCTTATTTATAAATTCATAACAATGACTATGAATTTAAATATAAACTACACTAAAATAATATCGAATGTAGTCTAACTTACAGATATTGCCTAGACAAAGGTCTGGGCATTGCATTTACATAGCCTCTACATGATAGCTACTATTTATCGAGCTCCTAAGGGTCGTAGAGCTTCACCAAAACTCAAATGCTAAGGGAATTTTAGGGATAAAATTGAGAGAAATCAAGTAGAAGGTGTGGAAAAGTTCTGAACTTCGAAAGCTATTTATACACGAAAAAAGGTCGTGCTCGCCGTGCTTTATGTCGGAGGGCTGACGTGGCAGTCGTCTAACGGTGATACGTGGCGAGATCTTAGGGGATGTAAGAGGCACGTCGCACGCTCTGTCTGTACACGCAGGTGCACATGGATTTTTATAAAATCTTTGAAAACTCATATCTTCTTCATACGAGCTACATTTTTGACGTGTTTTATATCTACGTGTAGCTATCGACGAGATCTACAACTTTCATTTAGACTCTGTCGGCTGATTTTGAATTTATTTATAAAGTTATATTTTTAACAATCTTAGACTGTTGAAGTCCGTTAAAAATTCATAACTTTTTCATCCGACGTCCGTTCTCAGCTGTCTTTATATCGACGGACTCCTATTAACTAGATCTTCGATTCTCGTTTGGATTGTTTTGGCTAAAAAACAACCAATCTAAAATTCGATTTATGTGCTAACATAGTTACGTTGAAATATTAGAAAAATCATAACTTCCTCTCATGAAGTCAGATTTAGGTGTTTTCTATATGCACGTTCTCGGTTTTATAATTACTATGACTTTCGTTTGGATCACTTAGGCTAATAAGTGTTCCATCCACGATTCACTATTTACGACACTCGATGTTGTATTGGGTTGAACGCGAAACTTCAACGAATCGTAACTTCTTTGTTTTAAGTCTGATTTGAGCGTTCCTTACATCCCTGGAATCCTCATCACGGTTCGACTTTCATCAAGGTTATTTGGCCTAATTATTATTCTATTTAAGATGCGTATTTTATTTCTTATTTTATTATATCGCATTAAGCATGTATGCTACATATAAATACACATAGAACACATAATACTCAATAATTATCTTATATACTTCATATAATGGTTACAGTTGTTGGCATTACAATTGTTTCATCTTATTAATACCTAGCGAGAAACTCGGGCGTTATAGGTCGTCAAGTGGTGGTTTTGAATGCTTGAGCCGTAAGAAAAACAGAGTCATGTTTCTTCATCATATAATCATGATAATAAAGAGAAAGAAGACCATAAAGTTCTTCAAAATCCATGGGAAACTGCCGAGCCAGAAGTGTCGACTTTAGCCCATTGTATTCATCACAAAGACCAGATATTACAAGCATGACCAAGTCTTTTTCCTTAACAGGTTCACCAATATATGCAAGAGCATCAGCATACTCTTATGCTCTTCTGAGATAGGCGGAAGATATTTCATCAGCAAGTATTTATAATTCTAGTAATTGGGCCCTTAGGGTGTACTCCTAGAAGACGTGTGAGGGGCATAAACTCGTTCCAAAGATAATGACATGTCACGAGAGGTGCTGCCGAGGACATGTTTGAAGGAGGTGTCTGAAATAGCAAAGAGCAATAACATGCGAATATGGGAATTATTAGAGAGCCATATTGAGAAATTAGGATTTGGCTGTGACCTGGATCATCCTAGTCAGAAAGGGTTATTGATGATACGCAATGAATAAAACAATAAATGTAGCCAAACAAATTGTTGGTAAGTAGAAAGGGTTGGATCATCATCTTCGGGTGATCGACCATAACTAGTTGGAGACGGGGTAAAACCAAAACTTAGTGTGAGTTATGGTTTGTCTTCTCTGTTGTGAAGAAGGAAACAATCAAAGCCATTGAAGAACAGATCGAAAGAAGAAAATAGAAGAAGCAAAGGAATAACAACAATCCCAAATTGGCGGTGCTAGGTTTTAACCTAGATGATGGCGACAATACGGTTAACCTTGATACCAAGTTGAATGTGATGATTGTATTTGGTAATAATTATATTATGTAAAATAGAAAAGAGGCCTGTGCATTGCACGAGTTAGATTTTTTTTTATTGATGTTTTGGTGTAGTAGATTTTTCAAAGTAGGATGTCCTAATAAGAAAGAAAATGAAAGTATAATAGTTAGATGGATTTTGAAAAGCATATTGTCCTTGTATCTGAAAACTTGAAAACACGAGTCTACAATTATATGGATTTTTGAAAGTACAATACCTTAGTAATAACAAAAAATGGCAGTACAACTTTGTAATAAAATAAATGAAAGTAAAGACGCTATAATACACAAATAAATGAAAATATGTTACTATTTCTGGCATCAAGGCTGGTATTTAGATGTAAATAATGGAAATATGTTAAGATGGCATTGTTACTAATAACAATGTACTTCCGTCATGTGGAGACCCACCGATCTTCTGAATAAATCTTTTTGAGAAAGCTTAATCTGTTGATAGATTTCTGTTCGAACCCATCCTGAAAAACAGAGTGATTCATCAGGTTACTTAATATATACATATAATAACAATGAATATAATAATAATATTAATGTTAAAATTAATGATGATAATAATAAAAAAAAAGAAGAAGAAGAACTTGCCTTCCAGTAAATCAAAATTGGCAACTCATTCCACAACCAACTTGAGTTCAAACACAAGGTGTAGTCCTTCCTTTCTCATTATTAGCTATTATGAATATTTCTATTAGTAATTCATCATGTTTTTTTAAGGAACGTAATAGAATTGAAGTCCGTATGTTTAGAAACAAAAACATGCAATGGAATGGAATAGCAAATTCCAATTCTGTTGTAATTCATACCAGGAATGTCTGGCATAGAAAGCAGCCATTAAATGCATGAAACTTTTGAAAAAGCTGACTTGAAAAATTTACAAAATAAGTTATTAGATATTACCGATACATGACAGTCAACATTTGACCCTATAAGATCAAAATCCACTAAAGTTATAACTCATCAGATATAGAAACCTCACATTACATTTTTAGATAGGAAAAAATGAAATAACAAAATAATTTATAGTTGGATAATCATAACAGATTCAAACCTTCATTTCTCTTGTAGATAAGAAATAAGAAAATTGAAATTCGTTCCAATAAAATAATAATAAGAAAAACGATAAAGCCCAAAAAAGACAACTCTATTTTGCCACAAGAGCACAGTATATATATATATATATATATATATATATATATATATATATATATATATATCTATATATATATATATATATATATAAATAAAAATGATGTTTCAAATTACATTTACGTGGATCATCTCGAAACTTCCATTTTTAGTGAATTTTTTCTTTCAAAAGTTTGTTTGTTTAAATTATTATTATTATTATTATTATTATACATGTGATAAGTTCATAAATAGATATCGAATCCAAAGGTTGGGTCTGCTTTCCTTCTAATATTAGATGACAGAAGAAGTGGATCAGAATCTTTCGGAAGTGAGTCATGCTGCTCGGTCTTCTTTCTCAATCAATTCTCTACTTCTGAACATTCATTCCACACGTAGAGAGGGTAAATAAGTCAGAATTTTAAAAAATTAATAATAATATATTTTTATATATGTTACAGACATATAGACATTTTACGATTATAACCTTTTGTTTATTACTTAAGTTGATGTGTTAAAATTTTGGATCATCAGATGTTGTAGCCTGTCTCTAAGAGTTAATAAGACCAAGTAAATGGTGTACAAAAAGATCCTTTTTTGTGTTAGTGGATAATTTTCTTGAAATTGTTAATTTATATAGATTAACCAAATCGTACTTGTTGGCAACCTCAACCATTTATTTAAGTAGTTTGAATTTAATTTCTTCAAATACCTACATCATATACCATATCCATTTCCGTTCAAGCATTTGCGAATGTAGTAAATTATAGAAATTCAAATCATTTACACCCATGGATCTCAAATGAAGAATACCTTTTTCAAGTTTCAACAGCTAGAGATGGAAAATTTTGAATGTCTTCTAAGAGGTGAATCAGAAATGACAAAAGGAAAATATAGTTCAGATCGCATGGGAATGCTTCTTCCTCTTCGTAACGGATTGAATAAAGATTTCATGTTTACCTAGTCCATTAATGGATTCTGAGCTTCTCGTTAACCTTATTCTCTTGCAAGTCTTGAAGAACATCCTGTAATTAAACAAATAAACAAAAAAATCGGTGATTTAATTTTGAAAATTTGGAAGATTTTAGTAAGAGTTTATCAAGTTTGGAGGAACATACAAGTCACAGCCTTGATTCCAAATCAATCAGAGGAGGAATCAATTGGATGGTACCTGCGTGGCCTAAATCCCGAAATCCGAAATTGGGTTTGCTCTATCCGTTGACCTACGACCAGGGGATGGAATTCTCAAAAAATGTTGAAATGGCGACAGGAATGTACAACGACAAACCGGCGACTAAACAACGCTCTGTTACTTCCACCGTCACCCTACCTAACCTAAACTCCTCAAACCGGGCCACTTACTGACCCAGTCCGGTAAATCCTTATAACCCTAAACCCTTCTCTATTAACTATAATAACAAAAAATCAGCAACTTGGGTGGGTACCTGAGGAGCACAAATCGGTGACGGAAGAACCGAAAGTAATGAACTCCTGATCAGAAGAAGCATCAGAGGTGGCAAGATCTCCCGCTTGAGTGGCTTCGATCTTGCAGTTGATCATTTTCTGGCGACGATAGAGGTCGGTGCTGGTGAGAAGGTCGTGTGTCAAGCAGATGAGAGAAAATGAAACGGGAGAGAAGTCTACAAAAAGGATGATATGCGGTGGAAAGGGAACAACAGATTAACCTGTTTAATATGATTATTATTATAAATATAAATTATAAATATAAATATAAATATAAACTAGAAAAGATTCTCCGGCGTTGCCGTGGTCGGAAAGTATTGCTTTGTCAAGTAAAGTAGCATGCTGGTTGTTTTTTGTCTGTTAATGTGAGGGTAATTTGGTCTTTTCAGGTAGTAGGGACTGAATTTGTCACCATGGGTAAACCATATGGACCATTTATATAATTTTGGCGGCGGTGGTGGTGGTGATGGCAGAGATGGTGGGTGGGTTTATGGTATTGATAAAACCAAAAAGTGAATGTTAAATCTGGTAAACCATAGGGACCAATCGTGTAATTTTGTCTAACAATAATAATAATAATGATGAGGGACCATTTCTGCCAAAAGACTAAATACTAATAATATGTAATAAAAGGCGAGGGTTATGAAAAATTCAAACCAAAGTGAAAGGGTTGTTTGTGAACAAAAGCATAAAGATGAAGGGTCATTGTTGTAAGTTGGAGGACCAAAATTGACAAAAAAGATGTTACTTTACTATTAAAATCTTTCATAACTTTAATATATATACTAGAAAGGTTACCCCCGCTACTCGGGGGTCAGAAGCTTTCAATGTTGTTTCCGAATTGATAAATATGACAGACATAGAAAGTGCAAGGATGAAAAGTCCGGGCTTTGCCCCGGACAAAAAATGTAAAAGTTTTGACTGCAAGGACCAGAAGTGTGAAAATGGCTAAAGAATTAAAGGGGTAGGAATTAGCAACTTTTTAGAAAATGGATCAAAGTTGTCAAACCGTTAAAGTTTTGTGGCCAAACTTTATATATTAAAAGGTTCCAAAAAAGTGTAAAAATATTGATTGTAAGGACCAAAAGTGTCAAAATGGGTAAAGAATAATGACCAAAGCTGCCAAAAAAACATCCAAATTTAATATTCCTAACTTCCAACAATAATACGGGGACCAATTCTGCCAAAAAAATGGGAAGTTGAATGGAACACAAACAAAAGGACATGAATAAATTAATTAAAGAAGTACAGGGACCATATACCTAACTTGAATGATCCTGTATTAAGAGCGAAATTGGCTAAAGGCATGGGTCAGGTGAACAAAGTATTCCAACTTTATTATACCTTTCTTTCACAACTCTAATATATATATAATAATAATAATAATAATTGACAAATACCACCGATGTAAATAGAGTACATATTTACACATTAGTCCCTCTAGAACACTTCTTTATTATTTATTCTATCGTCTAATAGTAACCGTATCAAAATCAAAATGTTTTGTAAAATTAGTATCTTTTATGCGATTTGACAATATTTTATTTAATTCTATTTACGCTATGCAACTAGTTTTCTTAGATTATCAAGTTGTAAAACACTAATTTAAATAAAATTTGAACATGTAATGGTTTTAATATAGGGCCGGAGAATAATAAGTTTGGTTGTTTAGCATTGTCTTTTTATGTACTTTTAAGTGTAAAATAAATTTATCATTCTTACACGGTTAGTGTATTTCACTTGGCCACATGACAGTAAATCGTCAGATTTAACTTCGTGACAAAAGCCAAAGATTGAATAATCAAAGTTAATATGGATGCTATATATATACTCACAACATATTCTATATTAAAAATAAAAGTTGAGAGTTCACTTTTGTATAACTATATTATTAAATCTACATTATTACAATGATTTATGCTATATTCAGATAAGATAGTTCACTTTTGTATAACTATATTATCAAATCTACATTATCACAATGGTTTATGCTTTATTCAGATAAGATCTACAATCTTTTTGAATTTGCCAAAGTCATCTAGGAGAAAAACACTAACCCCAAAAAAACACTTTTGTAAACAAAGAACAAGATAAACACTATAACCCCCCCAAAAAAACCTTCGTAAACAAAGAACAAACAAATGACTCCAACATTGTATTACTATTACACATCTCAATTCTCAACCCATTTACTGAGATCTCCAATACTTAGCCATTTCAAACCCATTTTGGCAATATTGATAATCTTGTAAAGTCTTTTCAATCTCATCTTGTGTGTTCATCACAAAAGGCCCATACTGAACCACGGGTTCATTAATCGGTTGCCCTCCGATCAACACGAACCTCAATGGGTTCGACCCGTGGTTCCATACACTGAGCCCATCTCCTTGACTCAACACCAAACCATGGTGAGCCGATACTGGTTTCGAATCCATGGACCCAAAAACCCCTTCTCCTTCAAGCACATATACAAATGAATTCCAAGACTCGGGGATTTGTTGATGCATTTGGGCTCTGGGGTCGAGAGTGAAATCAAGAAACATTGTGGGAGTTCGAGTGTAAACCGGTGATTTGACTCCCATTGACTCTCCGGCAATGATTGTAACTTTGACACCGCCCCTTTCGACTGTCTTGATTTCTTCCCGTAACAATTCTTGGTAATTTGGTTCAACCCTGTATTCGAGAAACATTATGTTAACATAAAATCAATGTTTCTATTAAAAAAAAAGTTGTTATTCTTCCAACAACCCTTTAGCTGGGCCCACACTGTTGTGTAAATCAAGTACACAATTAATAGTTTTATTTGTCATAGACTCCGGTGTACACAAGCAACCTAATCTACATTGAAATTGAAACTTTCACACTGTGATTATGACAGCTGACTCGAACATTGACTTGTTTATTCAAAAATGGTTTGTTTTCGGTGCACAGTGATCCATTAGGTGGTTGACATAAAAGTCATGTGAATTAAACTCAAATATTATAGCACTCGAACCCTTGTTTCTGCAAAAGGGTTATTTGTCTAGCAACTTCTAAGCCGGCTGACAAAGTTGGCCCACACAATTATATTATATTATATATATATATATATATATATATATATATATATATATATATATATATATATATATATATATATATAGTTGTTATGTGAAGAATTTAGTGTTCGTACATTTTGTCTTTGGAGGAAAGATTGATCCATAGTTGCAAACCCGTTTGGACACCTGAAGCTGCAGGCATCTCTGAATGAATAATACCTCTTCCAGCCGTCATCCACTGGACCCCACAACACACATGTTACATTAACATCATCATTAATCACGTTTCCTTTTCATATTATAGCAAGTAAAACAGATAAAATGTCTTTTCAAAATTACACATTTAATATATTTTATAAAAATATCCATTTATTAATTTCGTAACACAAATGAATAAAAAATTACCTGCACATCACCCGCTCTGATTGTACCCTTATGCCCAGAAAAATCTTGATGCGTAAAAGCTCCCTAAAACAATCCAAATACTTCATGTCAATTTTTATTTAAAAAAGTGACAGAAAATAAAAAAGAAATAAATATTACAAAATTGGTACCTCTAGCATGTATGTAACAGTCTCAAAACCTGTACCAAATATAATATTAATAAAAATAAGACTTCGTAAAATTATTATATCATATTAATAATTAAAACACCACAGAGTAAACATGTTTAAGTAATGGTTCTTTTATTTTATACCAAAAAACTGTATTAATTTATGCAAAATATACAATTAAATAAATCTAATTATGATATTTAAAACTAGTTCAATATAAAATATATTCTTTTTGATTATTTTTATGAAACAAAAGAAGAAAGGATCACATACCTCTATGGGGATGATCAGGGAATCCAGCTGGAGCTGAAACTGAACAAAACAAAGGTCTAATTTAATCAAACGTCAGATTCTTTCTATATGATAAAAAGGAAGAAACATGTAAAACCATAATCAAAACTAGTAATTTCAAGTTATAATCATACAAATTATAACACTAATTACCAGAAAATTCATCCAACATAAGGAAAGGATCCAGAGACTTCAATTCCGGCCTGCAAATCAAACCCCAAAATCAGTAATTTGAACAATGCGAGAAGATCAAAACTATAAACAAACCACAATCACCACCTTCCGATGCTTCTCCGAACAACAGCCCCATCGCCTTCGCTCTGACTCTTCGCCAACACCTTCTTCATCACCAATCTCGGCGCACTGAACCCAACTTCCTCCGACGCGGTGGTCATGACGAATTTGCTGCTATTTCTGCCGGAAAACGCCGTTAATCGTGTTGTGAGATGAGTTGCGATAGTGTATGTTAATGATTTGATCATGTATTTCTTCGAATCTGTAATTTGGGTTTGATATGGGGTTATTAGGGTATATATATAGTGTGTGTGGGTGTTTGACTTGTGGAAGGCCAACTCAGGGTGAAGGGGGTGGTGGTGTCGTGGAGGAATTAGGTGTGCACCAATCGAGACCATCCTTTTGATTCGTTTCCCATTACAAGAAATCAAACTCATATGCGATTACATCATAATGATGCATACATACCGTATGCAATTTTAGCTTAGAGGTCTTTTATGTAAAATAGAAAATATAAGTGATTTGTTTGTGTTTTTTTTTTTTTTTTTTTTTTTTTTTTAGACTTTTGGTTTTTTTTATTTGCACACTAATAACACATTAGTCTTTTAACGGCTGTAAAAGTTTTGTAGAATATGCAAATGTAAAAGAAAAAATTGTGCAAAAAAAAAATTTTGACACAATTTTTTCTTTTACATTTGAAGCAGTCTTCTACAAAACTTACAACCGGTAAAGACTGATATCTGTGTGGTGTGCAAATAAAAAAAAACCAAAAATCTACAAAAAAAAAAAAAAGATCATTTATATTTTTAATTTTTTTGGCACAAATATGAAAGTCTTTTAAACTTTTAAGATATTTTTTTTTCCTAAAAAAAACCCTAACTTGATTTGTTTAAATATATATGTTTATATTTAAAAAAAAAATATTTACTTATTTTTACAAAAAGATAAACATACAGAAAAACAAAAATAAAAACAAAAACTTTCATTTTTTTATATGTCCATCTATACAACAAAAATTCAAAAAATAAATAAATAAACCCTTTGTCATAATTTGTCGATTTATTTGCTTTGGGTTCTCATTATAACATTTGAGTGAATTTCAAGTTTTTAACATTTGAGTGAATTTCAAGTTTTCAACGGGACGATATCTTCGATGGTTAAATTATAGTAGGACTTAAAACTATTGTCACGTCATCATTCTAATAATTAACTTATAACTAAATAACCACTTCAATGGTTAAACTCTTCTAAAAGTAAACAGTGTGCGCAACGCCCACATCTGTTTTTGTGACGTGGCAAGCCTAAAACGTCGTGGTCACGGCTAAATACCCCCCCCCCCCCCCCCCCCAATTTTGTTTCCGTCCGTTACCATCCATTTTGTTCCCTCCGTTGCCCACATAAGATTGATAACACGATGTAACGGTCATTTTTTTGACCATTGGTGAACGATCAATATCTAAAAAAAATAATTTTTTTTATTTTACACATAAATAAACATACAAATATAATTTTTAAACACACAATCTTCTCTCATCTTCATACTACTTTCAACTTTAAAATAATAATAATAATAATAATAAAATAATAAAAAATAATAAAAAACACTTTTCCTTTCAACCAAATATGGAGCAAAACCAGAACACCCCGCCTCCAAACACAAACACATCTATCCCGATGGGGTTCGCACAATACGGAAGTTATATGAACCTACTCAACTCAAACTCACCCCAATGCAATTTCCTATATCCCCTTACACGCAACAAAACTCAAATAGTCAACAAACATTTTTAGTGTTTTCACTTCCATGCAACAAACAACCACACAACCACCACCAACATAACCACCACCCACACAACCACCACCAGAAACTGTTCCTGAAACACAAGCGGAAGGCAGTCAGAAAGGGAGAGGGGAAGGAAAAAGGAAAAGGAAAGGGAAGGAAGTCGCGGATATGGAAGAAGATCCTCCACTATGGTGGACACCGAAGGAGGAGTATGCATTGGCGGTGACGTGGTGCGGGACTTCAAAGAGTTCAACCATCGGAAATGATATGCGAAGAATTGGGTTTTGGGAAGTCGTGCTCAGCAATTGGGTTTTGGATGTGATAACTAGTTGCCCACACCCAGTAGTCTAATAGTTTTTTTTTTATAAAAAATTAACTAATTTATCCACATCTATCTAAAATGTTCTATAAACCCCTTTTATTTAATTATTCCTTTTTTAAACACACATTTTATTTTAATTTTATTAAAAAGTATTAATACATTGTTTCAAAGAAATATATTAGGTACGGAAAAATTAATACGAAAAAACTATTACGGGAGAGACATAAAGAAAAAGAGTTTAAAAATTTATATAATCGTTATAATTTTATATTTCATAAATGAAATGTTATTAAATATTTAATAGAAATAATTAATTAGTAAATAAATAAAGTATATTTAAAACTAAAAAAGATTTAAGAATATAAAATGAAATATAATTAACATTTGAGAGGGTTAAAAGACAACCTAAAAGTATATTCACAATTCAATATATATTGTAAATAAATAAATAAATAAATAAAGCTCTTTGCTCCAATGATAATAAGTAATTGATCAATAATAATAAGCTTTAAAAAATCCTCATTGCATATGTTCTAAACTCAACAAAATCCTAAGAGGTGTTGATTGTATTTGATATGTCATAATTTGTTTATGATTTGGTATAACCAGAGAAAAAATAATTATTTATAGACTATAATTAAAACATAAATTACTTAAAACCTAAAAACCTAAATATTATTAATTTTTATTTTATGATAGTTATCCTTACTTACGATTATGGCTTTTTTTTTGTATATTCCATACATTGTATGATATCCATTTTATGTATATTTTTAAAGATTCATTACCTAAAAACATTTATAGATTAGTTTCCATCTTATCAATATTTTGGTTCAAGGGTATAATGTTAAGTATTTTATATAATATAGTTGTAAATATACTTTGTTAATCTGTAGGCAATATATTTTATTAGTAATTAAAATTGTTAAAACCAATTGTAAGAGTTTAGTCTAAACATATCTTAATTGTTAATGTGATGAAAATGAGAAGTAAAATTTATAAATCCCAATGATTTCTTCTAAAATGTTGATTTTGTAAATACAAATCTTATACTGAAAATGGTTTTTAAATATGTGTTTTTCTTAAATGTCTGATATTATTATAAAAAACAACTAGCAAGACATAATAAAATTTATAAAATATTAGTATAAACACAAATAAGAAAATAACACTATATTCAAGGCAACTAAAATTGACACGATGTTTGAACTATTTATAAGAAAAAATAATTTTTATATGTCAGTCTTCATAAAAAGACACCTCAACCTTTTCAAAAATAAATGTATTTCGGACTTACCAAACCATACATAAAGTATAGTAATTCAAATATGTGTTTGTCTAGGACATTTGCCCTTCGCTTATATTTTTTTATAATGCAAATATAAATAAAGGAAGCCGCCAATGGTCATATAATCAGTGTCATTCAAATTGAAGTCAAGTATTCGCAGCGTAAAAATATAAATCATCATTTTAATAATAGTTTTTGCAATTTGTAGATTCTCAAGGGTCGAGAAAAACCTTGCAATCGGAAAAACAATAACCGAAGATCTCGCCAAACATTCACGCGAATGGGATAATCCAAGAGACGACATCTTCCGAGGGATCTCAAATGACGAAAGCTCTGATGGATTGGCCGCTTTAAACGCAAAGCTCGACAACATAGATCGAAGCATGAAGAAGATAAAGCAGACGGTCCATGTTATACAAGTCGGATGTGACAATTGTAGCGGTGCACATTTAACTAAAGATTGTGATTCGAACGAGAACGATAATAAGAACGATCAAATATGCTACTCGACCAGGGACAATTATGTTGAGTTTTTATTCAAAAATTAGTTTCAAAAACATAAGATTTTAGCAACGAAAGAATTGAAATTTTGATAAACATAAAACTAGTTTAAACCCACCAAGAATTTTCTTGCAAAATTTGGAAAGAAAAACATCAACCAAAAGAATGAAGAATAAGAAAGACAACATTTGTAATCTTTTGAATCATCAAGGGGAGAGGCTTGGAATTTGTAGAAGAATGAGAGTAGAACTCTTTCCTTTGTGGACACTAACTATACTTCAACTTGATGATGATGATAGTCTTAAACTCTTAAGCTTTAGTTCATATCAAAATATGAATCAAAGAGAGCAAAAAGAAAGCAAGTAAAACTCAAAGTCTTGAACACTATGGAGAGAGTATGCATGCCTCTAGCATGTTACGATTCCAACATGTTAAGAGAGAAGTGAATGAAAGCCCTTCTTCATAATGGTAAAACATTACCCAAATGTCTCAATGCTTTAAGTTCATCATTCCCTTACACCTAAGTGTGTCCCATACCTTTTAAGACATGTATTCTTTTCATTATTATAAGCAAAAGGCCATAGCTTGTCTAGCATTGTGAAACCCATGGTTTTGGCTAGTTAGAAGAGAACAAGTCTTTACAATTTTCATAACTAGCATATAAATTCATAAAGTCTAAAATTTTACTAAAAGATAAAAGTAATTATAGTCCAAAATATTTTACATCACTTAGTAAATCATATCATATTATATATTAGGTTATTTGCTAATGAAAATTAATATTTCTAAGAAATAAATAATTTCCAATTAATTATAAGAGTTTTTTGAATATTTATTAAAATCAATTTCTAATAATAATCAATAGTATCAAGTTGTTGTTAGAATGACCATTTACGATCATATATTATCTAGCAATATCATTTTATAATAACTATTGGGCATATAGATCTTTCAGATTATGATATAGATTGGAGGCAGCCGAAAAAGAAAGGAAACGAGATTTGGAGCTCTTTTAGTTTGATTTGTCGAGGCATTCAAGAAACGTCAAAATAAGGTCGAAGGAGCCATGAGTAATCTTCAAGCCTCAATCTTGAATATTGAGAGACAAGCGGGCCCATAGCAATTTTCACAATGTGACTATGCAGTCCAAGTGCCACTACTTAGAGACCAATCGCAAGAAACTTCATACTCGTGACGCAACTCCATAACTGACCACAATGCAACTGTCCTATTTGTGAATTTTATATTGATGTTACAACCTCTCTGAATCAGAAAAGGTCCGAGCTTCTTCCTAAAAGTCTTGCATATGAAGAGTTCCAAAAGTCGGAAAGACCCAAAGTAAGCTTAGTGGTTGATGAGTGTGATGAAAAAGAGTATGGTACAAAGAATGAAATATTAGCAAGGGTAAAAGAGAAGGCCACTACTAGGAAGGGTGATAAGGTTAAAGACGAAAATGCAACAGTTTGCCAAAGAAAAGGACTACAAGAAGGTTGAAGAGGGCGAAAGCTCAAAGAAAAATGAAAAAAAAAAGACTGCATA